AAATGACTTGTCTATAGTTTGAAAGATATTACAAAACAAAAGGCACAGCTCCCACATCTCACAGTAACTTGGTCCACTTTCCTTTAGCAGCTTATTTGACACATCATCCTAAATTTTTTGAGACAAAAATCAGTAACTGGTAAGTGGAATAAATTAATAAATCCACAAGAAATTAAAGAACTTCTTTTCTTTAAAGATTTCTCCCAGATTCCCCAGGGGAAAATCACAGAAGAATACTACAGCTGTGGCTGAACTCTTCTATGTTGTGAGCTACTACTGGATAGAGCTGATGTTCACTTTTCCGAGGAAAGCACATCCTTAAGATACTATAATATTCCATAAACCTGGTGACATGCATCCTTTTTCCTTCCCCGGTAAGAACAAACACCTTACCCTCAGTGAGCAAGGCCTAGGCCTGTTACCCTGGGAAGGCGTGCCGCACATACAGAGCACAACTGACGTACACTGCCTGCCCTCACTGACTCGTCACCGCACCCAAACAACATCTCTCAAACTACATCAAAGCTCACGTTGGTTCAAAATTCTTCTTCCTTCTGGGCTGCATCTCCAGCATGGGCTGCTCAAAGCAAAACCCGCAACCCGTACCCGCCTTCAGATCTAAAATAATCGCATTTAAAGACCTGAGCAATGAAACAAACCAACTCCCTCGGTTTTCCTTACGTCTAATACTGCACTTGCCAGCAATTACCAGTGAGGCACCCGGCAGCAGGAACATCCCCATACGGCATATTGAGGCCCGCCAGCGGAGACAGCTCAAGAAAAGACTCATCATCCAGCAGCAACTTCAGGCGTTCACGAACAAACAGCTTCTTGTTTCTCTGAGTATGACGCAAGATGGCATTTTCTCCCCCTCCTTTACTGACCATCTCTAGCAATTCTGAATATCTGAGTTAAAAAATGAAGTTTTGATTAATGAAAACCACCTTTATCTACAAGTTACCCTTTAGGAGACTGAACACAGTACTTAAATGTACTGCACGGTTTTCATATAAATGGTATGAGAATGAAGATGAATCCACTTTTTTGGACTGTTTTTTCTTACAAAGCGTAATAAAAAGCACTGACAAGGGGCTGATCATCAGTGACCAAAGCTGACTTTGACAGATACTGCCCTACGCAGTTAGCCTATGAACCCACAGCTATTAATAAGGCTATGGTAATTTGCTAGTACTAATTCAGCATGTTCTAGGTACTCCAAGTTTTTCCTGACGGGCCTCAAGCACATTCTACAGCACGGAAAATATACTTCAAACGTAGTGAATAGTGCAATGTCATCAAGAGAGGAGGTGATTACCAAAAGTTAATCAGGGCAGCATCAAGCACTGATAATGAACTGAATAAACTGTAAATAAATGTGTTATCTCAAATAATTTTGGTCTTAAATAAACCAGGTTCTTAATTTATTTAAAGTAAAATATTTTTGCCAAGATGGATCATCTTTAACTAAAAATACTGTTTGACATAACTATTTGCACACCACTCTGTACATGACTCCATTATCTTACTGAGGCTTCCTGCCGACTGGAGAGATTGAAAAACCTCTGGAGGAAAAAAATAAAGATTTTGAATAATGTCATAAATGCCACCACAGGAGGGCACAGTGTGTTTTCCATAGCTTTGCTTCCAGCTCCTGTATCATTCCTCTGAACTCCTGTATCATTCCTCTGAACAAAGCCGTTTGAATTTTTGCCATCTGATCTTTAAGGACGAACACATAAAATGCATTTTCCTGCTTTTATCAGCGAATCACGATTAATTGCAGTAACTGTCACCCACTCTTTCAGCAGGGATCTGTAAATGTCTGAGTCACCATTTATGCCTTTGCATTCAAAATCAAACACGAAACAAACGGTATGAAGGTCTAGGAAAAATACGTCTTGGCGACCTATGCAAAGCAATGTCACACGGCACTGTTTTAAATACAGTAGGCATTTCAGTCAACATTTGGGCCCCTCTTGGGGGCTGAAATTTTCAAGCACTGATGCTTGTAAAATTCACTCTGCGGAGAATCCAACCAAGAAAAGAGCAGCCAGGAAACTCGTTTAAGCTTCAAAATGGTTAGGTAACAAAACCCAACTTTTTAATTAGCATTCTACGTTAAAAAGTTCCTGAAAGTGCCCGTATGCAACTCTCATCATCTCACAGGTAGAAACGTTTTTAAAACACCACAAAACCAGTTCATTACCTTTTAATAACAGCCTCACTGTTCCTTAAATTTTCTTCAAACACATGCCGATACACAGAGAGGATATGTCCATCTAAAACAGGGTAAGTTTTTGCGTAAGGTCTATGCTTTGCTTTATTACTTACTAAACGGCAGGGAAGCCTGCGGCGTGCCCTCTCCAAGCCCTGACTCTGCAGTAGGTGTGCCGGCCGTTCACCACGACACAAGTCCTTGTACTTTCTTTCGGACACGCGATTTAAGGTTTGTAGCGCTGGGCGCAGGGGAGGCGCGGCGCGGGGGGCCAGCCTGCCAAGGGAGCACAAAGCGGCCGCGTTCCACATGGCCCTAACAGCTGAAGGGAGAAGAAACACCATTGATTGCCAAAAATCAAACCTCAGATTCCCTCGCCTGGCGAGGCAAAGCCGGCACCACGCCTCAAGCTGGGGCCATAAGGAAACGGCCCCACTTCCCGCCCGCACCCTGCCCGGCGAGCACAGCCCCCTCAGGCGGCAGCGGCGGTCCGAGGCCCCGCGGGAAC